ATATCACATCTTGTTTGTATTGTAACTAATATTTTTAACTTGATTAAATATTTTAGATACTATTTTATAAACTTTAAATTGATATTTTCATCATGTTGTTGCTCCTGGAGTAGCACAACAGTATAATTAATATTGTAGAAGAATAATATTTACTCTTGAATAGCATAAATTATAATTTTCAATATTTCAGAAAATTTTTGATATATTGCTCTTTAAAAAATAATAGTAAAATATAACGTGCTCTCGAAGTAGCACATTATAATTCTCATTAATATTTTAGTTAGATCTTATTTGCTCTCGAATAGCATAATAATATAAAATCTAACATAAATTATTTTTTTACTTTTGAAGAGTAAATCATTACGTAATTTATTACTCTAAATAATAATACGTCATTATTCCCGCAGAGTATGATATTATTGTTATTCTGGAACGAAATACCAATCAAACATTTAAATATTCCAGAAAAATATTCCAGAATTGTTTGAATCAATCGATATAAATCAATATTCTAGAAAAATATTGTGTTGCTCTGAAAGAAACATAATTTTATATTTATTAATGTTTTTGAAGAATATTATGTGGTTCTTTTTGAAGAATTGGAATTTAGATATTTCAATGTACATGTTTTATTGATCTTGGAGAATTTTAATTTTAATTAAAGTGCTTCTAAAGAAGCAATAATTTATTTATATCAATATTCCTGAAAAATATTGTTTTGAGGTTCTAGAAGGGTCAATATTGTGCGATAAGAAATCACAAACTTACTGTTGCTAGTAATTTGTTCCTCATTAAATAAAAGAGAAACTGACGAAGTTTTTAATAGTGTTTCTTAATTGGTATATTATACTAAACTCTAATGACCATTTTGATAAACATTTTATTGAACTTCTAGTTCAATAACTTCTATATTTTTATTGTTTGACATGTCCATTAGACTCAGACCATCACTGGATCAATAATGATGTGAAAGGCGAATTCAAAAGGACATTCAACGAAAAATCTAAAAAATTCTTCAATCTAATGAATTCGCAACTTTTTAATGAGTGTTTGTTGAGATGATGATAAATGGTTTGACACTATTGTTCCTTAAATGTCTCCAATTAATTTAATTGAGAACAAAATGCTTTTAATTTCTATTTAGGGAATGTTATTACGCATCGTGCTAATACATTATAACTTCACTTATGCTCAAAGCTTAATTTTTTCATCAAATTATTTTGAAAGTGCAATATATGTATATTTATTCAATAGCATTGCGTTGGGAAGGAAAGTAAAGAATGTTGAGAGTAAATGCATAGTTTGAACATTTATCCCAAATGGGTGACATTTAATAATGCAATTTGCTGATTGTCAATTTGATTAGACAATTTTCTCCACATCAAGAGAAATTAATAAACAAATGCATCATCATATAAATCCTTGCAAACAATCATTTGAATCAGAAGTTCGAAAGATAATTCATTTAGATTCATCTACTGACCAAAAAAATAATAATATCTCATACGCCAACTTTAAATGTGACCAAAGAGAATAAAAATATCTCACACACCAACTTTAAATGTTTCAACCCGTATTGACTCTTGGAAAGACAATTCATTAATATTTTTATTTAATAAATATGTGGCACTTCTGAAGCGTGATAATGTTTAATTCTAATATAAATATTTCCAAACAAAAATGGAAAAATTAGCAAAGATGATCCTATTGAAGAGGCATATACTCCTAATGAATATTTAGACATAGCAAGTTTTAAAACCTCAGAAATGGTTCAGTTACCTGAAATAATGAAAATTGAGATATTTTAATAAGTTATGTTATTATGAAAAAAGAAATATAATCGAAAAAGAAAATAAAAAGTTGTCGACAACACTTTTGCATATGATGTATTACATCATATTAAGAATAGTGAGGAATTAGAATAATTTCATTTAAACATATTGATCAAAGTAATGATTGGTTAAATAAAAATGACGCGATCATATTAAAATTAAACTTACTAGAGAAACATGAAATTTTTGGATCTACAATCCGACACCTAAAGATATATACTTATGCAAAATGAAAATGTAAAGCCGTAATATGAAATGTACGACTCTTTACATGCTGAATTTCATGAAAATTTGTATAAATAGATTAGATATCATGAGGTGGATGTAATCATAAGTAGCTACCTTGTTAGCGTAACAATGTATTAAATTTGATTTGTAGATAATAAACGTGATTATAGTCAACTTATATCTTATAAACGTTTAATAGTATCCTGGAATGATTTAATATGCCTCAAGCATAATTCATGTAATATTATCATGATGTAAGTAAATACGCATTGTACTATTTTTCCCCGGCTAATGTTTTGTTCCATTGAATTTGTAAGGCAAGATTTCTAAGAATACAATTTTTTGTAGAGTATTTGAAAGAATCATGTACCATTTTTCTTGTATTAAGATTTTTCCCACGAGATTTTTCCTAATAAGATTTTAACGATACATATTATTTGTGTAATTGATGTCCATAACATACAAAATATTTACCCTCGAAATAATACTTCTATATATGCATGAGATTTTTGAAGAGATCAACAAGTGCTATTTTTTTTGAATCATTATGTTACTACAATCATTAAAGGTTGATAAATATCTCGCATTAAGACGGTATTATTTGAAGACATTATCGTAAAAGACAAGAATGAATTGATACGAGAATTGAAATCAGGAGATCAGCTGTACTATTTTTCCTTTGATCAAATCTTGTCCCACTGAATTTTCTTGACAAGATTTTAGCGATTTTGTAATGTATTATTCAAATGGGAGTGTTGTAAATAGTAAATTTAATAGTAAATGACAATTGTACCCTTACAACCCTATAAATTATTACCATTGTATCCTTATAAATATGACTAGTTTTCAATAAAATACACACAAATTTATTGATTTTTTTTCTTTTGTTCTCTCTTTTATCTTGTTTATAAGAGAGATCAATTTTTAAACATTGAAATTTAATCTTTCCATTTCCAATTCGCGTGATAATTTAAGTTACATATACCAAAAGGGAAAGTGTATGTACAATAAAAGCGATGTTATTATAATATTGAGTAGTAAATTTGATTAAAAATTTAGGGAATAGTGTAAAATGAATATCTTTATTTCATTAAATTTGGGTTCCATTATTTCAATTTATAATGAAAGAAATAATATATTTTTGAAAAATGTATGGTCAAAATAGAAGGATTTTTCTTAAATTTTACGTATAATATTATTTCATTAAAGAATGTGCAATTGATAAAAATAGAGAGAAAAATAAATTTTAATTTAATGGGGCACCAAACAAGGATTATATTTGTAAGGCATATATAAATTTTTCCATAGAAAATTGGGAAGATTACCTATTCAAGAGAATAAGTTTAGCATATTTCAAAAATAAGAAAACAAGTTTGAAATTTCCAAAATCAAATTTTTATTAAAAAATTTTAAAATTTTATTTATGAAATAATAAATTATTAAATTAATTTATTATTAAATATTTAATTATAATATAATATAATTAACTCATCCCACCTTCACCACCCCTACCGCTCCGGCGACTGTTCCGATCATCACCCTACTCAGGCAAACTTTCCGACGACCGTTCCGGCGACTACGATTCGGTG